CAAATGACGAGCACTGATGTGGATGTGGGAAGGAGGAACTTGATTCACTCAGTGGGTTGTAAACAGTTATTATATACACCAGTGCAGAGGCTTCTTAAAAAGCTAAAAGTAGAGCTGCCATATGACCCACTGAGACTTCTGGACACATACCTAATGATTCCCACACTGTACATATAGATTGATTTGCATATCAATATCCATTGCTGCTTTATTCCCCATAGCCAGGAGATGGGATAAACCTCGGTGTTCATCAACCGACGAACACATAGTGAAAATATGGTACGTTTACACAATGGAATTCTCTAAAGAAAATGGAGTGGTGAAATTTGTAGGAGAAAATGATTGGAACTGGAAAATACCACAGTGAGTAAAGTGACCAAGCCTAGAAGGACAAATGCTGCCTATTCTCTCACATATGGATCCTGACTCTCAATTTTCAGATTTGTGCGTCTAACCTGGCATGTCTAGAAGGTCAGGAAACTAGAAAAGAGTCATTAGGAGGGAAAGTGGGGTGGGAGGAGAATATGTAACAGGCCCCAGACCTTTGTACAAGTGACTCCATGATGAAAGTATCGGTCAGCTGTGAGACCCAGCACACAGACAGTACCGCTTGTTACTAAAGCAAAGGCCTAATCCATCCAAGTTTATTGTCCTGACAGAGTCTATAAATATACTAACCTTGCTTTTCGGCTTTTAGTTCCGCTGCTGGATAACTGCTCTTGTTAACTCAAGTGTGTCAACCCAGAATATAGTTTCTGTGCTTAAAAATCTCACCCTGAGGCCGGGCGGTGGTGGCGCACGCCTTTAATCCCAGCACTCGGGAGGCAGAGGCAGGCGGATCTCTGTGAGTTCGAGGCCAGTTTGGTCTACAAGAGCTAGTTCTGGGACAGGCACCAAAGCTACAGAGAAACCCTGTCATGAAAAACCAAAAAAAAAAAAAAAAAAAAAAAAAAAAAAATCTCACCCTGAGAGTTAAATGGAATAAAATTAAAATCCCACTTCAGTGCTACACTGGGATCTTGAACATTTAATGTAGCTGCAGGCCAACTGATAGATTGTTTTCTATTGGCTTACATCCATGTCTGAGCATTCTTCTCTGGCTAATACTCCACAGCAAAGACAGAACACATGTGATATGACAGTAGAGGCTGGGGGTTCTGGGGACAGAAATGTTCAAACAGGGATAGACATTGGGGAGGTACAAAGAGTGAGGAAAGATAACCAAAACTAAGGATGCATGAAAGGTCATAGAGAAACCCACTATTTTGCAAACTTGTTTAAATATATAATTTTAAAAACCTGTTTGAACAGAGATACCCTACATGAGTGGATAGTGTTGCTTCCAGAAGCCATAGGTTCGTAAATGAAAAACCCCAATACCAGGCACGAGATACCTCCCCAAGAATTATTGGTCAGGGAAACGTCAATGGGGTCATTGCCACTGGTTTTGGTTGCCCATCAGAACCAGATGGTAAGGCCTGCCACTAAAGACCCCACACACCTTGATTGCAAGCAGTAGAAAGGTCAAGCCAGAACTGAGACGGAAACGCCCTTCCTGCTGGGTAGCTTTCAGTGCTGGAGTGTACTGTGCAGGATGTCGGGAGAGAAGAACCAGCTGTGAACCCTGTGAGTTGTAATACCGTCTACCATGTAATATGCATCCATATGCAATACCACCTTCTGACTTAATCTGAGGCACACACCAAAGGAGGCCATAGATGCCGGACACTATCAACTTGGTGAAAAAGCCCACGACTAGAGAGGTCTTAGCCCCATTGCTGATATTGTCAACTTGACGAACGAAATCATCTAGCGGAAGGCCTCTGGTGCACCTGCGAGGGGTAATCTATACCAGTTTAGTCCTCCCCCACATCTATGAAGGGTAGTCCTACCCACATCTATGAAGATTGTTTTGATTACTTTCATGGAGGTGGGAAGACCCATCCATGTTAAGTATCTTTCTTTAGATGATCAACTTCTCCACCGATGCAGTAATCCCAATCAGACCAAATCAGATCGAACTGAAAGATGCCCATGTTTAATGGATGGCAATTTTCCCAGTGGCCCCAGGGAAAACATGGAGAGGGAAAGAGGGAAAAGGGGAGATCACAGGGAACTGGGAGACCACGTGTTCATTCTCTGGGGGGAGGGCAGGTTTTTTTTAAAGATTTATTTATTAAGTATACAGTGGTCTGCCTGCATATGTCCCTGCTATCCAGAAGAGAGCACCAGATCTCATTACAGATGTTTGTGAGCCACCATGTGGTTGCTGGGAATTGAACTCAGGACCTTTGGAAGTGCAGCCAGTGATCTTAACCTATGAGCCATCTCTCCAGCCCATGGGGGGGGGCAGTTTAAATAGCCTGTGGGAGTGGTCTTGATCTTCTCTAGGGAAGGGTCACCATTTGGCGGGCTTTCTTGGGGGTGGAGTTTGGACTGAGGCAACTCCCAGGGGAGGGAATTTATGCCAGGAAACTGGAGTGAAGCCCCTGCTAAGTAATCCTAAAGCTGGATTTGGGTCCTGGACTGGATAACCAACAGAATGCCAGCTGAGGGGCTGGAGAGTTGACTTGGTAGTACGGAGCGTAATTGCTCTTGTGGAAGAAGCGAGTTTGGTTTTCACAACTGACTCTGGTTTGCTGAAAACTGTCTGTTCACTCTCTCCAGGGGATCCACTGGCCTTCTCCAGACCTGTAGTCATGTGAGCACGCTCACATACAAACACACTCATGCACGTAACTAAAAGTAAAAAAATAAATGAAAAGTAATGTTTAAAACCTACCTGAGCAGGAGCACATCCACCCATCCTGGCTGTGGATACCGCGTGAACAGTTGCTTTGGGTTTCTGTCATCTTGATGTCCCCACCATGATGGACTGTGCCCTAAAGCTGTGAGCCGAATCCTTACCACAGGACGGTCAGCACACAAGTAACAACATGGAGACTTATTAATTATGAAATCTTGGTCTTAGCTCAGGCCAACTAGCTCTTATAATTAATTTAATCTGCTTTTATTAATCTACGTTTGGCAGTATGGCTCAGTTGCCTCTAATCTGTACTGTTTGTCCGACCTCTTCAGGCTGCCTGGTGTCTCACTGGCATAAACCGAGAGGCTAGCTTCGTCCTCCTCTTCCTCTCTCTTGCCCCACAAACCCCGCCTGTATTTGTACACGCTATAAAGTTATGTCTCTGCCTAAGGTGCTTTCTGATTGGTTTAAGAAAGAGCTGAATGACCAATAGGTAGGCAGGAGAGAATAGGTGGGACTTTGGAGGTGGGAGTGGGAGAGGACTCTGGGAAGAAGAAAGGCAATTTCATCATCAGACTCAGAACCAGTCGGATATGCCATGCTAAGAAGAGGTAACTGAGCCATGTGGCAGAATGTAGAATTTAAAAACATATGGGTTAATTAAGTTGTAAGAGCAAACTGGGAACAAGCCTAAGCTAGGGCCAAACTTTCATAATTATTAATAGGTCATCATTTGCAGGCCAGTGGTCCTGAGTGAAAGAACGACTACAGCAGCTCATAAACACCGCCCCACCCAAGCTAACTGTCGACAAGGCCAGTCTTGCGCAGGCCCAGTACACACAGTTACAGCTGTTTACAGTTCCCGCTTGCTATGGTGTCATGCATAGACGATGTTAGCCCTTCTCCTGTCTTCTGGCTCTTAAGTTCTTTCAGCTCTCTCTTCAGCAGTTTTCTTTGAGCCTTAGAGACTGTAATAAAAATGTCTCATGTAGGACTGAATGCTGAACCATGACTTAACCTTAGCTTCTTGGGCAGCCTTGTGTCCTTATTCATTGCTGTTTAGGGCAGCCTCTGTCTTTGAATATAAACACAGATATTAAGAGGGCAATTTTTATGATGTGTCAATTTAGCCAAGCACTGGGTAGTAAGTTCCCCCTAGGGCTATAACCTGCCCAGTAGTCTGTTTTCTACTTGGTTTACAAAGCCAAGACTGAATTCCCTCCTGTGGAGCAGGCAGCAAATCCGCAGAGCAGTTAGTTATCTCTGGAACAATCCCACCACCAGTTTGCAGCTGGGCACATCTGGCCTGGGAGGTTGGCATCTTAGTTCCCTGGTTCACATGTAGGTAAGACCTCTGACCGCTCTTCTACACTGCAGCACCCAGATTTCCTTCCAGGACTCTGAGAACACTACCTTTACCTTAAGAGAAGTTGGTCAAACAGTGAGGAATGCCTATTCCTTAACTACTTATATGCTCATTCACATTTTAAGCTTTTAGGCCAAACAGTTTAAACACCATGCTTAGGACTGACCATACCGTACACATTCTGCAGTATTTGTCTGTGATTTTGTTAAAGGAATATTTCCCCAGGCTCCTATGACTTATTAGTCACTAGTTAAAACAACACTGCTCTGTTTAACAGATGTCACATTACACAAAAGAGATTGGTTTTTGTCTTTTGCTTTAAGGTTTCCCTTTTTTGAAAAGAGGTTTTCTGTTTCCCTAACTGGCCTGGAACCCTCAATGTAATTACTGATGATCTTAAACTGATCCTTCTTTTTATACATATAACACTGCACACCCCTCCACACTCACCCCCATTCCCCACCATACCCACCCACACCCCTCCACACCCACTCCACACCCTTCCACACTCAACCCTACACCCCTCCACACTCACCTCTCCACCCCTCCACACCCACTCCTAGTATAGCAATTGCAGGTGTTTCCCACCATACACCAGGGCAGATGTTTTAAGTCAAATGTTAGTATTTTTCTTCGATCTTTCAATTTCTGCATCAAATATAAATATTATTGTGTAGATTTTATAAAGTAGATTTGGTTTGCTATTCAGGAACTTTTTAATAATGAAGATGCCAAGTGCTATATATGATCAGTATAGACAACGTCAAATGTTTAAATTGCATCTTAAAAACACCTTATTTTCTTTACCTAGGAACTACCATGTCATTATCTCAATTTTACTAAAAAAGAGGTTTTTTTTTTATTTTAAAAAGCAATGATGGTATTACATAGATTTTGTAGAGAAGAAATAAGACATCACCTTGTCATTATCTATATCCTTCACTGTTGCCATGGCAATGGTCAAACCATCAAAGCCAACTCCTAAAAGTTTTGTGAGATTTTTGTCATTGTTGTTTTGTTTTTCTTAAGTTTCCAGTTCAGTGTTCGGACACATTTAGGGATTTGGAACTTTCTTTTCTTCACATAAAGGCAAAAAGAACACCAGCCAAAGAACACATTGTGTAATTACTAAATTAGTACAATTATGGCAAGCCATTGCATCCTCTGGCAGGGATGGTGAAACTGACCACATAATGGTGAAATTTTGTATTATGAATCTTCACATGACAGTACCCTGGAGAGTGAAGTGTCTTCCTCCTGAGATATTTTCATCTCAGGGCTTGTGGCAGCCCTGTCTGGGTGGGCGGATGCCCATCTTCCTTCCTCTCAGCTGTATATTCTCTCAGCCACCCAGACCTAAATAATCACACAAAAATATATTAATTACAACACTGCTTGGCCAAAGGCTTAGGCATATTCCTAATTCCTATCTAGCTCACATATCTTAAATTAACCCATTTCTATTAATCTGTGTGTTGCCACAAGGCTGTGGCTTACCGGTAAGGTTCTGACAGCTTTCTCCTTTGGCAACTACGTGGCATCTGTCTCTCTGCCTTCTTTCTCTCTGCATTGTTTAGTTTTCCCACCTACCTATATTTTGCACTGCCATAGGCCAAAGCAGCTTCTTCATTAGCCAGTAGTAATATATTCACAGCAGACAGAGGGGAATCCCACATCGGCCTATGTGTCTCTCCCAAAGACAAATGCTGAGTGGAGAAGACAGCGCTAGAGAGAAGCCAACAGGTGGGTCAGACAACAGTTGCCACTGTGCTCTCCATAAAGAGCTTTCAAGAACCCATCAGTGACAGAGGATGCAGTGTTCTCCCGCTAGTTCAAAGCACAGTGTTGTGCAAGAACTTGAGTCATCTTGTTCTGCAGAAAGAACAGGGTGTTATTCTTCGATCTCACACGTTGGCACACTAGAACGCACCCAAGGTAGTTTCTGTCTAACCAGACAGATACCAGATGGATAACTGTAACTAGGCAGCTAGTAGAAATGGATGTAAAGAAAGAAATTGGATAAGCCATTTGAATCATTATATATAAATGGTTTGCACTGAGGAAACAAAGAGGACAGCCACCATTTTTCAACAAAAATCCAGAGTCATCACAGGCTTTTTAAATGAATTGCCTTTTTATCAATGCAAGTGCAACAACAACAACAACAACAAAACAGAAGAAAGCTAAGCAGTGGTGGCGCAGGCCTTTAATCCCAGCACTTGGGAGGTAGAGGTAGGCAGATCTCCCTGAGTTCGAGGCCAGCCTGGTCTACAAAGTGAGTTCCAGGACAGCCAGGACTTGGAACCTGTCTCCAAAAACTAAAAAAACTCTGCCTCGAAAAAACAAAACAAAACAAAAAAAGAAAGAAAGAAAGAAAAAGACAAAAAGATAAAACAAACAGAAGAAAAACTAACAAAGAAAACTAAATTAGAGCCTGTTACAGATTAAATTTGGAATTGATACTTAAAAGGTTAATATATTTCAGGTTCATGCTTAAGAATTTTAAACAGTTAATTAAAATACATTATATCTGTTACACATAGTTAGACACACAAATTCAAATATGCATAATATAAGCAAATGTATGTGTGGTTTGGGGAGGTGTTGGTTTGTTTGGTTTTTGAACCGGTTTCTCACCTGGAATTTGCTGTCACTTGCAGTGATCCTCCCATCTCAATACCCCCCCCCCCCCCGGATTACAGGCGTGCTCCACCACCAAATAAAGTTATCACTGATCCTTCTATAAATTACCTATAAAAACGACGTGACAGAGGGGGAAAGAGAGAGAGAGATGAGACACTGCCGGACTCGGATGGCAAGCAGCAATGATGAGTAATTTTGCTGGGGTAAGTAGCTTCCTTTAACTCTCAAATTCCTCCTTAGTAGAAGTGGGAAGCAGTGTGACCTGAGTAAGACACGACTCCCTGCCCAAGGGTACTTTTCCTTCCCCTGTGGAGGTGTGTGTGTGTGTACGTGCGCGCGCGCGTGTGCGTGTGTGTGTGCGCGCGCGCGTAGGGAAGTGGGGAGGGAGAAGAGGGCCGGTGCGGCTGGGCTTCCGGAAGGGCGGGGAACCGAGGTGGGGAGCGGGTTCTGAAGTTTCCGTTGACTGCAGGTGTGGCTCTTAGGTCTACATCTGAATCTGGGTGCAGAAATCTGGATTGCTGCTTCCCGACGTCTGGCCCCAGAGATCCCCGCACCCAGCACATCTGGGAGAGCCCAACTACCCAGATACCCACCCATTCGCCTTGCGTGGGAAGGGGCCCATGGTGCTGACTCAGCAAATCTGAGTCATTTCCTGGTCCTTGGTAAGATACCTCGACTCTGCTCCAGGCAGGTCACCGGCCAGCGGAAGCAAGCGCATTTTTTTCTTTTCTCGCCACTCTGTCATCAAAACCCATACAGTTTCCTGCCCGACAGCCAGCTCTCTTTAACCGTTCCACACAGTGGCGCAGAGCATCCACTAGGGTCAAGTCCACTGTCCACCCTGTCGGATCCTCAGGATACCCCGTCTCAGGATACCTGCACCCCATCCGGCGTACACTCTTATAATCCACTAAACTGGCACCCAATGGCAGTGCAAAAAAAAATTTACTAAGTCATTTTTCTAAATGTACACTGCCTTTTGTGGCATGGAGTCGGGGAGACGCTGGAATTCGGTAAGCCGGGCTGGCATTGAACTCAAAAATCTGGAATAAAGGCGTGTACCACCAAGCCTGCCCGACGTTTACACTGAAAATTCAAACTGTTTAGCTCTAGACCAGTATTTGATTGTGTCTCTTCCAGTAGGCCACACCCACCAGACCACAAGGAGAGGCACTAATAACTATGCAATCAAGAATAAATACATCTTTAAGAAATGTAACTGGGAAATGGCAGACCGTTCCAGCAACCCGGGGCTAAGGAACAGGTATTTCCTGTTCGCTGACTTTTTGCCTTGGCTTTGAATCAAGAGATGACTAAGAAACCGGATTCCCACAGAGCGCTGAGACCCAGGTGAAGGACTGAGAGCTCAAGGCTTGCCGGGGAATCCAGGAGGGAGGCAAGCTGTCTCCAACAGCGTCCAGGGGCCACTGCTCCGCAAGTGTCTCCAACCAAGCCTAAACCTCCGACATCTATTGTTCCATGCCTGGCTTTCCAAGCAGACACACGGGCTTTCAAACCTAAGAAGGGACTCGTTTTCCCTTCCGAAACGCACTAACTCTTCAGGGGCAATCTTTTAGAATCTCAAATTTCAGTGGGTCCGGTACGTTTTCCTCAAGGACGTCTAAGCATACAAATGATCTGGAGCATTTCCTAGGAGAAAAATAAACTAGAGTTGCTTCCAATACAAACACACCGTTCAACACTTAATGTTGTATCTCTATAGTAAAAGTCAACTTAGCTGTTAAGAAGAATAAGAGCCAGGCATGGTAGTGCTTACCTCTAACCTCAGCACATGGAGTAAAGGCAGGAGGACACAGTGGTCAAAGTTTGCCTGGGAAGTCTGAGAAATCCTGTCTCAGGAAACACAACCGAGAAGAGGTGGGGAAGATGGACATTTATACAGATATGAAAAGATATCCAAAGTCAATGAGTTGGTAGGGCACGGGTGGCTGTGTATCCACAGACACAGCAATCCTGTGTTTATTGGTTTTGGTTAACATAATGAAAAGTGAATTTCAAAGACAATACATACATGGCATTTCACACTTAATTTCCACATAGTTTTATCCTTGCACTTTGTTCTTCACTTCCCCAAGTCACCTTCCTCCACACCTCCTCTTCCCACTTGGCTGGCCTGTGCCCTTTCCCCCAGTTACTATCCCTGTCTTCTTTTGTGACACGTGTGTCCCATTGCCTTCTCTTGTTTCCCCAAGCCTCAATTAGTGATGGATCTTATGTTTTATTTAAGGATTATAGACAAACCAGAACAAAGTAAAACAAGAGATCCAAGACTATGGGAACCCCCCAAACCAGAGCTTCAGAGGACTCAAACCAACAACACTAGGAACACTAGGAACTGGGGGTTCTGGGTAGAGACAGTTTTTCACAATTAGCTGTTTGGTTACAAATTCTCCTGCGCTCATACAGCTTGGTTTCCCAGATTCCCTTCTTGCTCAGGCAAACACCTCCCACAAATCATGGCCTCCTACAAACTCTAACCCTCCAAGGGAACACAAGAAAGATGAGTACTGCAACCAGTAAGGCTAGGAAAAATGGCAAGCATCTGCTCCTCTTTCTAGGTCATCTGCAAATGGACATGTTTCTAGTAAGTTTACTTAAAAAACAAAAACCAAGAGAAAAATATTAAAGTTGATGACATACAATACACAACGTCTAAAGAAAACACCCAATTTATAAACCATCAAAACACTTGATCTGACAGGTGTGATTATGGAGAGAAGGAACAGAAAGGCTGAGAATCAGTATTGTAAGGGAAAATTAGGATACACGGGCCATCTAGGCATTTCTTTATATTCGAAGCGTGTTATGTTTTGCTAATTGAAGCATCAGGGAAATATCAAAGATATGATCTTTGTTTTCAAAGAACTTATTTCTTCCCAAAGGGATGTGTGTGCAACCAAATGGACCCTGGAACTGTTAGATGTTCAGAGGGTACTGTGGTGTTTCATCTGGGCCAAATCCAGCCAGCTAGTCCCAGACCTTCCCAGGATGGGCTGGCTGAAATCCCAAAGAAACCCTGTGATAGGTAAGAAAGCTGTGTCTATAGACAGCTGTGTCTGTAGTCCCAACTAAGGCAGAAGAGATGGTTTGAACCCAAGAATCTGAAAGCAGCATCTTCAACACAGATGAAATTAACTGTCAAAGCGATCAGCGAGATCCCAAACATTTATTGTAGGAACTTAGCATGCACATCCTCATGGCAGACAAGAGAAAGATGTCTTAACTGCTATGTCTGCAGTGAGGGTGTCAGATTGAGGTTTAGAGAACTTGGCTTTTAGTCATAAGGAGGCCAGGAAGATCTACCTTGCCAAGGACATCAGATCTGGTATGTCACTTACCTCCCTTTTCTCAACCCTCTGAATAAAGTTATTTGACTACCACCATCACCCTTCTTTAAAAAAAAAAAGGCTCTGAACTCCAGGGCAGTTTCTTGAGGTGTTTTGGGCAACCACCTAGAAACTTCTATCAGTGCAAGGCAATGTTCAAGGCATGGGCTTGGGTTCCAGCTTGCCAGGAAATGCATAAGCTGATTTGCATAGTCTGGATATCCAGTGTTGGGGGTGAGGAGGGCGGGGACCGGGGAGGGGCACTGGGGGAACCCTCTGGTGACAGTGGTCAACAACAGGAAAGAAGGGTCTCTCAGCCAAGTCTGGATGAACAAGTACCCACTTAAAGCTAAGACTCCTGACTCTGAACTGCTGCTTTCTCCCCAAGTCCTGCGGCATACCTGGCTTCACTCTCTAATGGGCTCAGCTCCAGGAATGGGGCCAGTGTAAAAGCATCTATTCACCTAGTAACTCCTTCTATGTCTCAATGATCATTTTGAGTGAATTCTCAAAGGACTAGAGAGGTTTCCCACTGGTTAAGAGTGTTTGCTGCTTTTCCAAAGGACCTGGTTCAGCACCCACAACAGGTTGGCTCATAAACATCTGAAACTCCATCCAACTCCAGGGATCTGATGCCCCTGGCCTCCACTGGCAGCTTGACTCACATTCACATACCCACGCGTGTACATGCACACACACACACACACACACACACACACACACACACACCTCTAGTTAAAAATAGTCAATAAAAAATGGAAACAAGCCAGGCGGTGGTGGCGCACGCCTTTAATCCCAGCACTTGGGAGGCAGAGGCAGGCAGATCTCTGTGAGTTCGAGACCAGCCTGGTCTACAAGAGCTAGTTCCAGGACAGGCTCCAAAACCACAGAGAAACCCTGTCTCGAAAAACCAAAAAAAAAAAAAAAAAAAAAAAAAAAAAAAGAAAATGGAAACAAAAAGTAATAGAAGCTGTTAGTCTCAAACTTGGGAGAAAAAAAGACCATTGACCAAAATCATCATGGCTAAATTAATTAAAGTAAGCAATTAATTAAAGTATTTTTTATTGTACACAGGCTGCCTTTGAGATGTGAAGAAGACAAGGTTTTTATAGCTAAGGTATAGGGGTTTTCTAAATGGGGGATTTGGTGAGCAAAATAGGTAGGGTTACAGGGCAGAACATAAACATAACAAGTCAGATTAACCTCCTGAAACAAAGACATGACTATAAGGTGGTTGGAACAAGGTAGTCATAACAACCTTTTGAAGCAAAGATAGGGTTGTAAGATGGTTATTAATTTTTTTTGGAAAAAAAGGACATGATTGCCATTTCTGGGACAGGCATTTGCAGTTAAGGTTACAGGTGTGGCATAGCCTAATCCTTGAGAAACAGAGGTCTAATTATAAACAGGAATGAACCTAGTTGTCTATACAACACCTGCCTCCTTTACTCAGACGTATAGTGTTGTGTTTCAAGGTTGCTGTTGGTGGTGCATCTCCATCAGAGCACACAGCCCACTGTTGGGTCCACGGGGGTCACATAAAGGACAGACCATCAAAGTCTAATAAACCAGAAGCAGACTTTATTCCAAGAAAAAAATAAAAAAAAATTACAAAATAAATGTCCATGGGGCACAAAAAGCTTATCAGTTAGCTGAGACCACAGCCAGAAATGGACTTGTAAGGCTGTGGCAAAGGCCAACTTTTTAACTCCTCATTTTATATCAAACATTAGACAATAACAAAAGAATTTTTACAATCTCAAGACAAAACTCGGATACAAATTGCCCTTCTCTGCACTTTCCATTAACAGAGTTTTTCAGTTAATCTAGTGTTGTGTTTAGTCCATTGTCTTTCCTGGCATTCCTTGATAG